CAATAAATACTACAAAATTTCTTTAAATATACATATTTTTAATAAATAAATATGGCTGGACGAAGAGCAAGATCAACTAAAAATATAAACGCACAATATGAAGACTTGTGTCTCCGAAATGATGATCCTGAACACCTTAAAAAAGTTTGGATTGACAATGTCATTGGTAAGATATATTAATTTTTTGGAGGTCAAGTTTTAGTTAAATAATTTTTATTTTATTTTTTCTTGTATATATTTTTTATGTCTATATTTAGAAATTCATTTATGGTTTTTTATTTAATGATTTTCCTTGATTTAAAATAAGTATTTTATAATTTTTTTTTGAATTGCATCTGGAATGGGGATTGTTAAAATACTTTTTGACTATAAATCATTATTTATTTTTAGTCTTTGGTATCCAGAAATTCTAAAATTGAAATAACAAGCTGGACAACGTTTTTTAAGACAATGTTGTATATATATATATATATATATATATATATATATATATATATATATATATATATATATATATACATATATATATATATATATATATATATATATATATATATATATATATATATATATATATATATATATATATATATATATATATTAACAACATGTTGAGAATTCTATGCGAATATAAAAAATATATAAATATTTATTAGAGGTGACCGGCTAAGGAAAATAACCTTGTTTTTTTTGATAAAATTATCAAATTATTATCATAGATTTTCTATATCTATTATTAAAAGTTGGATTGTTTAAAGTTATGTTACAAAAGAATTGCAATTTATTGCAAGTATTTAACTCATTCATTTAAAGTAGTTAACAAAAGTAATTTTAAAATGGTGGCAATCCTGAGTGATTTTTATAACATTAATGACATTATCAAATTGAAAATAGTTTTTTCCGTGAGTGCGAGAGACTTGAAAAAATTATTTAAGTGTGACAACTTCATTAATAATTATTATGGTATTTAATTAGAAAAATCTTTAGTTGGTAGAAAATTTTACTTACACTTCTTATGTTTATGCGTATTTTTTTAATTTTATTAGGTTTTATTTTAAGAATGCTGCTAAGTATTTTCAATATATATATATATATATATATATATATATATATATATATATATATATATATATATATATATATATATATATATATATATATATATATATATTTATATATATATATATATATATATATATGTGTTTTTTTTATATCATTATATTTTTTTAGATATTTAGGTTGGTATTATACTAATTTATTTAACTTACTTTAATTTTTAAGGATATGGAGTGTTTGTAACAAAATCATTTGACAAAGATGATGCTATTTTGGAATATAAAGGAGAGGTAATTGATCGGTTTGAAGCAGAAAGGCGTCATAAAATTTATCAAAGTAATGGAGAAGGGTGTTTTATATTTGATGTTGATTCTTGTAATTTTAAGTTAAGGTATAGATTATACTTAAGTGAAATAAATTTTTTTTTAATGTTTTATTTTTTGACATGTTCTATGTTTTATGTATTATAATGTGTTGTGTATTACAGTGTTGATGCTACAAAGTCGTCAAATCTTGGGAGATACGTGAATGATTCGGCTGGAAAATTTGCTAATTGTCGCCCAAAAAGTTTTTTATTTAATGGTCACCCAAGAATAATTTTAGTTGCAACAAAATTTATCTCAGCCAACACAGAGTTAAGATATGACTATAATGATAAGCAAAATCTTTCATGGAGAAGTGATGTATAGTTTTTAATTTTTTTTGCTTACTTTATTATAAATAGTATATAGTATATATATAATATATTTTACTATAATAAGTATATATATAAATAAAAAATATACGATATATGAATATAAATTATAAAATAGCTTTCGCTTCCTGCCGAGGCCTATATATATATATATATATATATATATATATATATATATATATCAGCAATTTTCTGCCAACCTTATTTTTCCTAATTCCAAGGGTTGTTTATATATATACACACACACACACACACACACACACACACACACACACACACACACACACACACACAGAGAGAGAGAGAGAGAGAGAGAGAGAGAGAGAGAGAGAGAGAGTATTGGGAAGAAGTTAAAATCCACAGATAAAAAAAAAAATGTTAAAATAAAATAAAATTAATTAATTTTTATTCTAAAGATAATATAATAGTCTTTTTTTTTGAATCATAATAAAAAGAACAAGAAAAAAGAATTTTTTTTTTTTTTTTTTTTTTTTGAAAATTACCTAATAGAACCTATAAAATTAGGATTAAATAATTTGTGTTGATTTCTTTAAACATTTTTTTTGTGAAAAAGTTAAGATTAACAGAACAAAAAAATGGTAATTTTTACCTAATACTGCATATTTCTACCATGAATTTCTAAGCACTCATTTATACGATTTGGCATTGAGTCTAATAAATTTTCTAAAATATATTTGGAAACATTTTCAAGTATTGTTGGTAAAATATTGCACAACTCCTCAAGGCTCATTCAGAGACAATTTTAGCCCTGTGACATAGTGGATTATCTTGCTGAAAATTAAACGGAATGCTTTGCTAAAGTACATCAATTGATGGTAAAAATAGAGTTGAGTCAAACATCAAATAATTTAATCATACTGAGACCATAATATGTCATGCAGCACCATATTCCAAACGACTTACTACCTTGTTTTGATCTTTGAACGATACAATCAAGATAATATTTTTCTAAAGGCTGTCTGTGAATCATAATTCGGTTTTTTTGGTTATCAACCTCGATATTAATCTCATCACTGAATATAACTGTTCTCCATTTTTTCTTAGACCATTCTTTAACGCTTTGGCAAAAATCTTTTTTCTTTTTTTTTTGTATGTGTTTGGTTAGTCGCGGTTTTAGAACAGCTTTTTTCCATAACATATTGTTAGCTATTAGTTTCCTACCCACAGGTGATGCCAATGTTTGACATCCATTTGAAAGCCTCCATTCCCTTCTTATTTCATGCGACGGCATGGTTTGATATTTTTTTTTGCTAACCTGATGAAAAGGGGAACATTATTGGGTGTCGTCAAACACGGTTTTCCAGAAGGATGGGAATTGTAAGAAAACAAAAACTTCTTTGTGGTTCTTAACTTTTTCACAAAAAAAAATTAATAAATTAAAAAAATTAACACATAATATTTAATTCTCATTTTTATAGGTTATCTTAATTAATTTTCAAAAAAGTATATATATTCTTTATCTTCAACAAGCTATTTTTCATTATGTATTTTCATCAATAAGATTATCTGAATATCAAAAATTTCTAATCATAGAAAAAAAGTTTGATGGAAATTCTAATAAATAATTTTCTAATAGCTGTAGCTGTTTTGTATTGTAACCAGGAGGTTACAATAACTATATTATTAAAAAAAAAATTCATTTTAAAAAGAATTCTTTCGAATTAAAGTAATTTTAATTTAGACATTTGTTTAAAAAAAAGTATTTGTTATTATATCTGCATTATATCTGCATTTATGTTTATTTTTATATCTTTTTATATCATTATAGCATTTAAATTATTTCAAATTTAAATTATTTTAATTAATTCAAATTTTTTTATTCATTAAATTTTTTAATCCAAATAAGCCAGAGTAAACATGTACGAGAGCAGAGAACTGCTCTCTTAAAATGAACATGGCAACCTACTTGTCTAAAGACATTTTTACAAGATCTTTCATTCTTTTGTGCAAGCTATCTGTTTTTCTTGAAACAAATTGCTTATTAAATTTTATTAAATTTGATTTTATACTCATTACCATTATTATATGCTTGTAATGTACAACTACAAATATATATATATGTATAATATTCTGCATTAATCTTTAGCATTTTACTTATTTGATGAAAAGTTTGACTTTAATGTTTCTATTGTTTAAGTGATAAAGCACAGTATTTAACACCTGAAAACTTATGAAATATTTTATTTAAAATTACCTTTAGTGTTTTATTTGGTCTTTCACACAAGTTATCCAATTATCCATTAACAACTTTAGTTGTTTGATAATTTTTTTTTTTTTTTTTTTAACTGATTCTATTATAACTTAATACTTTTTTTATTGTAATAATTATTTTTATTTATATTACTAAAATACCAAAACAAAATGAATATTTTCTTATAGAATAATTTATAAGATTGACAAGTTGTTAGGCATTTTTATAGCTAAAATCATTTCTGTAGTTAAAATATAATAAAAATTAGTGACTGTTATGCAAAAAAAATAAATCAAATTTTTTAAGCAAAAAAAATCTTTAAGTCCATCTTTGTCTATTATGAATTTTTATTTTTTCTAATCAATATCTAAAAATAGAATAAAAAAAAGTGGTTTATATTTGTAACCAAGTTAGACTTTTTGCAAGAGACGTAAATTGCTCTGTAAACCACAAGAGGAATGTGGGCAAGAGCTAAACTTCTTACTTCCTGCTAAGGCCTGCAGTAGGTAATAGTTTCAATTTTTTTTTTTTTGTAAACACTTGCATTACAAACAGCTAACATTTCCCAACTTTCTGCTTGAATTTTTTGATATTTGGATGAACTTTCTGATGAACCTACAGAAAAAAAATCAGCTTTTCAAAGAAAAAATTAGATGCATGATTCAGCTAATTTATTATTACTCTGTTCTTTAAGAACATTAAGCACTCTATTTGTAGAGTACACTAACATAATTTATAAATATTTTATTTTGTTATTTTTTGACAAGTCAGTTAAAAAAGTTTAAATTAAGTTTAAATATGTTTTTTTATAGAAAGCATATGCTCAGCCATTTACAATTGATGAAATAAAGTTTTTTCTTAAGCATCCAACTGAGGTATTTTATTATTTTTTGAAGTTGATTAGGGAAACTGAATATTGTTAAAATGCATTAATGCATCCGTCAGGGTTATTAATGGTATTTTAGTAATTACTAATGTACCATTGACCAGATGTATTTTAAAAAAAGGCAGGGTATCAATGGTATTTTAGTAATTACTAAAATACCATTGACCAGATGTATTTTTTTAAAAAAGGCAGTGTTATCCATCTTCATGTTACAGTTTCATTTATTTTTAATTACATTTGTTTAATTTATTGATTCCTAAAGGATTATAGACTGATCTTAAGTTAGACACAAATCTAGAAACAAAGGTTGACTCTCAATATTTTGACTACTTGATATTTAAATGTAATTCATGATATTCAAGTTTCAACTCAAGTTTATCATACTTTTAGCAAGTAAACCAATCAACATCAAAGGGTTCTCTTATTGGTTCTTTTATTAGGAAAGAAATAGAAGAAAGAAACAGGCCTTGCTCTTCTAAAAAAAATTTAAAAGTGCAAATTCAAAAGAAAAAAATTCTTAAATTGTATGCTTTATACATTATTAAAAATTTTGCAAGAAAGTGCACATTTTTTGTAAAAATTTTGCATATAAATTTTGCAGAAAAGTTTCAGAAGAGCAAAATGAGCTAGAAATACAGACTAAAATGAAAAGACTTTACTTTTGAACATTAAATAATCCATAAAAAATTATTTATATTTGGAAATCTTGAATTAATGTATTTAAATTTGTATTTGTATTTGATCAAATGTATTTGACCCCAACCTATAGTGAATCCATACTCATCCAGTAAGTTTTAAGAATATGAACAGATCTTTTTTAGGGGGTGGTTGGGAAACCCTAATATATATATATATATATATATATATATATATATATATATATATATATATATATATATATATATATATATATATATATATATATATATATATACACACACACATATATACCCTATACAATTATATAGAATCATATACCTTATACAATTGTATATACCCTATACAATTATATAGAATTCCTTCTGTACATAAGATAAAATTCTTTGTTAATTTTTTTTAGAAAGTGGAAAAATTAGAACCGTTGTCAGTATCTTCTGTATGTAACAAATTCTTTTACATTATTTTTTCTGCTTTTTAGGTGTTGTTCTTATAGTAGTTATAATATAATAATAGCAATAATAAATAATATAAAAATTTAATAATAATTTATCTAATGACACCATTTTTTTTCAAATTTTATTTTACCCTCAACAACTCTCTACATTTTATTGAAAATAAAAAAAAAACTATTTGCTTTAAAGTATTTATGGTTTTTCAAAGATTTATTAAGAAAAATGTTTTTTTTTTTTTTTTTTTTTTTGAAAGGTTTTAAAATGGATCCCTTTATCCTTTAAAAATGAATCCTTTTGAATCCTTTATCTTTAGAATCCTTTAGATCCCTTTATCCTTTAAAAATGAATCCTTTATCCTTTAGAATTGAATTTTAATTTTTTTTATTTTAATAGTTTTTCAAAACAGAATCAACACAATCTTTGTCTGAGGAGGAGAATCTTGTGCCTGAAAAAGATGAAAAGAAGGCTTTTAAAAAAGTTTGTGTTGCTGTGCCCAAATTCAATAAATCTTTTTTACAAAAGGTGTGCTTAAATATTATTAATTGGTATTAAATACATAAATTAAAAATAAAATTCAAGTATGAATATAAAATTTTTCTCTATTTTCATTAGCCTGTACATAGTTCTACTTTACCTGAAAATATTAATTCTCCTGAAAAAATCTGTGATTTTTTTAAAAGTATTGATTGTTCATCTGAAAAAAAAATTGGTAAAATTTTTGTAAATTTTTACTTATACTTACATTTTTTTATTAAAATATTTTCTCTAAAACTGTTTTAAAACTGTTTAACCATTTTTCATTATACTTAAAATGTTTTTCTTTAGTAT